AACTAAGAACACCAAACCAAAACGGAGTCTATACTGGCTCGGTTGTTGCTCAGGATAAAAAGGACCGTGGTGAATGCTGCTGATTCTGGACATCCATCAACATGTGGGCTATGGAATCAAAATACAAATGAAGAATCAGAGAAGCGGGAAAGATATACAACGCCAGAAAACCGCATTATTATTATTATTATTATTATTATTATTATTATTATTATTATTATATAAAAAGTGGCCAGCTACTGGTCAAAGAATATTTAGTATAATGCCAGGTTTTTTTTTTACTTTGTTTGTGTTTTTAAATACATTACAACTGTACCCTTGACTTGCTTCTGACATGATAAATAAATCTTATTCATATTTATTTATTTATCATGTCAGGAGCAACCATTCATAGCAATAAGACTATATACCAACCATGTAAAAGGCTGCAAATGTCCATCTTACAAACTGGCCATCAGGTCAAGCTGAATATGACAAGAACCATTGTAACTTTGGCTGTTTATTCATTTAAACATTATATTCTTTCCTTTACCCAAAGATTGCAGTGCAGCCTACAATAAAATCCAATTTAAAGCAATAAATAATTGCAAAAGTCTTAAAATATATATATTTTAAAAATAGTTTATCAATTGAAAACAATCAATTTAAAACTGGTTAAAACAATCTTGAATAATATAACCGCAAATTATGTGCAGCCTGGATAAAATCAGCAATAAAATATTACACAAATAGCTATTTTCTGCAGTTACCATTCTGGTAAGAAATATCAAGAGCAAATTTTTATTTAAGCTGATATTCTCATTTCTGTACATAATGATTTGCTTCAAAAAGGTAATTGGGGTGAATGGAAATGAAGAGACTATTTTTGCCAGAACCATCATTGAATTCCAGTTACACCAAAACATGCAGAAATACAGACATGCACTGGATTTAACTCTGGTTACTAGCAGAATATGAACAAAATAAACGTATGCCCTTCATCTTTGTCTTCTATTCTAACTAAAGTTCAATGGAAAAAATATTTTAATTTTTTTTATTCAAATGCCAAATCATGCTACCTTTTTTGCATCAAGTAGAATTGCATTGCCTAAGGCTGTAATCTCAGAGAGGTTACGTCTTGCAGCCTTTTGAATTTTCATGAACTGCTTTTTGATTGGATGCTGTTTAATAGAAATGAATAATATTTTCTTGACAAAGGAATCTCGTTGTAGTTGCACAATCTACTATAAATGTTGCTATTAGAATCCTAGGGAGCTTATATTTAACTAACCTTTAACTTGAAGCAATTTGGATAAAATGCTTGGAGGCATAACTGAGAATCTCAGTGGAAATTTAAGGTATCTGTTTTTTCACAAGATGGCATTTTGTGTCAATATTTTAATTTGGTCGTCTTGGCTTCTTAGTATATAATGTTTTACTCTCCAATTCAATATGTGTGCACATTTAACTTGAAGCCTCCAGACAGCAAATGAATAAATCATACAGAGTCAAATCCTTAAGTGCGTTGGTTGATATAGTTCACAAGACTGGTGCCCGAGGATCCATACTAGGTTTTATTGGATTTTCCTTTAGTTTCTTGTGCAGGAAAATATCTTTATAGGGTTCCTGAGATCCTAAAGCTGTGATCCTGACAAAAAAAGCTACACTCCGTTGTTTTCCAGAAAAAACATATATGGTATTCGTGGTTTTTATTTTTTATATAAAAAATTGTAATCAGCATAATTAATATCGGCACGTGGATTCCAGTCTCTGAATCATTCACTTTGTAATCATTGGATTTTACTGCTGTTTATTGGATGTGCCTCTTGATACGAACATAACAGAGATACCATTTGCTGCTCTTGTTCAGAAAAAAATGACTTTGATTAAATATTCATCTTACATTATAATGGCATCTATAGAATCAATTACATGTATAAATTGTAGAATGAAATCATACATGTCAGGCCTCCATCAAGTATTATATATTTAAATTTTTGGAAAGATAAATAAATTACTATGCATTGACATGTAGTGTTTCCCACACATTTTCTTGGATCTTGCTTCCATAGTTCCATGCCTGAATGTATGTCCTTCACATTAGACATATAGCTGCTGACCTTACTCTCAGATCTATGTTGTTCAGTACTTCTGAGAGTCTTTTGCTGACAATTATTGATTTGTCTGATGCATAGTCAAGTTGCTTGCTCCCTGGATCGATATCTGTATAGACTGATCAACATGATTTTTTTACCCTTGAGTGTGTCTTGTCCTCAGATCCAACCCCCCTGTCCCCCAATTGCATTTTACATAGACAAGAAAGACTGTAGCTATTACTCAATATATTTCTATACTTACATTTCAGCTTACATATTGTATAAAGACAAAGCTTTCATGCCTATGCTAAGGCAAGTGTTTGGACGGGGGGGGGGGGGGTGGGGGTGGATAGTAAATCCACATGGGGCGTTGTTCCAGACCTGTAGTACCAATTTTCTCGTATAAGAAGTACATAATAGAATACATCCACTACTCTGCTGTATTGCCAGAAAGATCAATTCTAGTGGTCGATCTGTCTTTCAAGAAAACCAAGTAAACCCAGAAAAGAATCTGAAAAATCCTGGAATTTGCTAGTACACAATTCAAGTATTGGTTGCCCAGAACAACAGCTCGTGCAGTTTTGCCTGTTGAAGCACAATACTTACTTCATGAGTCATTTTATTGTCAGAAAGTGATGTCAGAGATATTTTTTGTAAAAAATAAAATGATATACTGTTTTAATAAGACATGAAGGTATTTTTGTAAATGTCTAGTTAGGGCATTTCTCATACTGACAGCCTGATAAAATTCAAAACTTTACTGTCAGTTTGAACACAGGAGGCACCACTTTGATCTCTTTTTAAGAAGATCTATGAATTGAAATGTACATATTTCTCTGCAGACAGATTGATGTCAAAGGACTATGAGAATTCCTAAAGCAGACAGCATGGTTCTGCTATACTGTTGCATAACATACATTGCTGTAAGATTAATTCGTGTCTATTTTCTGAACCTCTTTCGTTTGGTTAAATGTGTGTCTTGATAAACTGAAAAGTAAGAACTGAAGAAGGGGTAAGAGAAGAACAATCATAAAGTGACAAGGAATTATAAATTACTGCAAAAGATGCTGTGGAATAGATTTTGTAAGATATTTTCAAGGAGATGCTTGTGGGGGAGGGTATATTGTTCTGCTACTTGATATTTTTCATGACCTTCAAACTTGCAGGCTAATATTTAGATGAGTTTTATTAGATCAGTTGCAGCCTTCTCTGTCTTTGCTGAACCTTATTTTCTGCATAGCTTTAACTAATTTGCAGGTATTTTTACATACCCAAATGCTGAGTCACACCAAATCAGAGGTAGGAGCCTCAGAACCCTCTAGTTGTTGAAATGCAACTTCTGGAATTCCTCCCCCTTGGTTATGCTAGCTATGGCAATCGGGTTTCACAACAAAACAACATCTGGAGGGCCCCACAATTCCTGCTCTGGGGATAAGTTATTATTCCTTACTAATAAGTCAGGATATGAACAAGTGGGATATGTATCTGCTGCTTTTTTCTTCCATGCACCTGAACAAAAACAGGCCAGAAAGACCACAGCTCCTGTTATGCCCAAAGAATGCTATAGAGTTGATTGCCTCCATGTTATCTAGGATTTATAACTCAGCAATAAATAATGATTTAAAGCTGGTTTACAGTCCCGACATATCTGGAAGTCAATAACTATGGCTCCTGATTCAAATCATGGGGATCTTTGGCTACATGCAGCCTCCTCGTTGATTCTGACAATAGCACAGAGGGAAGAGCCCAGCAGGAGTACAAAGAATCTTGAGTTTTTAGGGTTAGATTTGAGTGTTTGGATGTGACCACTCAAGACATATTGCAGGCATTCTCAAACTGCAGTCCTCCAACTGTTTGGGTCTCCAAGTCCCAAAATTTCTGAGCATTGAACAAGCTGGCTTGGACATCTGGGATTTGGAGGCCCAAACAGCTGGAGGACCACAGTTTGAGGATGCCTGATATATTGACTTAAACGTTATGTTAATTTTAAATCTGATGTTTAACCATGTGTGATAAAAATTATATTTGTGTATCTTTAGAGTATATCCTAGTTTCTTCCATCATGTGCCTCAAGGTAGCTTACAACAAAGTGACACAAAATAACACTACAATTCAATTATGGAAATTCACTTCTTATAGTAAATTCAAATATTTATTTTTCCAGTATTTATGATGGTATACATAGATGCACTTTCCTCTACATGTGTTGCCTGCTTACAGGAAAGATATTTGGCTCATGTATTTTGTTGTCATAGTCCTATATTTCATTGCTTCTATGACAAACTTTCCCCTCATATAAACATCTCAAAAAACTGATTGCGTCTTATATAAACAAATATTTTTTTCTGTTGGTAGTAATGAAATTAGTGACTGCCTTAGAATCAATGGCATCATAGGATTGATGAAATATGGTATTTTGCTGTCACTTTTTTGAGAGATGAAAATGTATTTGTATAATAGTTATTTGAGTTTGGACGATGTCTCTGAAGATTAGGGTTCAAATCCTCAATCAGCCATGGAAACGCACTGAGTGACCTTGAGCAAGTCATATTCTCTCAGCCTCAGAAGTAGGGAAGGGCAAACTCTCTCTGAAAAAATATTGCAAAACAAAAATAAATAAATAACAACAACAGCAACAAACACCTCCAAAAACATATTAGGGTCATTTTATGGTTGCCATAAATTAGAAGTAACTTGAAGGCACCCAACAATAATAACCATCAATTCTTCAACCATGTTTCATTAGAAGCATGTATACTTATTACAAATGTGAAAATGAATTAAGTTCTATAGTTATATACAGTAAGCACACAGTTTATCTGCACTTATATCACCTCTGATTTCTTGATGTATTGTATGTTGTGTCTTTACTTATATGTAAAATAGATTCATTATGTAATCTTAGTTATTTTTTTACTTTCACAGCTGAGTCCCCTGTTAAGAGATACTGTCCTGAAGAAAACATACAATATTACATTAAACAATCCACTTTTGATCCAAGCATACAATTCTGCCTTCAGATATGTGCCCGTCAGATCAAACATATTATGTGGTCTCTGTACACCTAATGAACCAGACTCAAAAAAGTGAGTATGGCAACCTCTTTATTTATTAAAAAAATGGTAAATACGTTCGAATTTGCAATGCTATTTTTCCCTGTGAAATGTTGTTTTCCAAACAAAGCAAACTTTTGACTCTAGAAGATCTTGTATTTTAATATGTGAAAAATACATGAATTAAATGTTGATGGATTTTTTTTCCACTAGCTCATCTCTTACCATGACCATGATACACAAACCTTTCCAATAGAGATGCTAGAGAAGGCTTTATTTCACCTAGTAGACACTAAAAGAAATTTTAGGCACTGTTGGTTGGGCAAACCAAGAGAAATTTCATAATTAGAAAACCATTAAAGAGCATATTAGTACATAGATTTTACAAATGCATAGAATATTAAGATGCAATAGAAACATTATTAGAAGGGGAAACAATTAAACCCATATTAAGTGTGCCATCCTTTTGTGTTCTCTTTCTATACAGGCAAAATGAAGTCTTAGCAGGTGATAGTAAATGAATTCTTATGAAGGCTACCTTGTGAAGAAATCTCTTCGGTTTGATAATGATGTCCATCAACTGTTCAGATAAACTATATTTACCTCAATAACCTTCAAAAATATAAAGAAAAGCTCCTAAAATTAATTTTCTTCTTCTTTTTCAATTTCTCTTGATAGTACCAGGTTTTTGTTTTTGTTGGGTTTTTTTTTTTGCAAATTTTCTCCCTACCATTTAGTACTTTGGTCTTTTACAGATGTATCTCTCATATTTTCTTTACATACACTTCCAGACTGAATAAAATTATTTAGCAAATTAATCTCTGTATTCGTACTCCAACTCTATTTTTTACTTTCATATTTGTTCATATTTGCTTACATATTACATTAGTGTAATATGTACACATTCAGGACACAGATAAGTCCATGACTGACATCCTGCAACAGAAGACATATATATATCTGACACACAGCAATGTTTGTATAGTTATGTTTCCTAGTACTACTCCCCATCCCTGCATCCATAGGGACCACTGGGGGTCTCCAGGAGATCCCCGAAGACAATAACTTTGCAGTTTATCCACTTACAGGAAAATACCTGGATATGTCTTCATTGATTGCACTGCTTTCTAACAACACGAAAATTGTAGTGTATGTATGTGTTGGGGGGGGGGGAGTTGGGGGGGTTTAGGTGGGATTTTGAGTAGGATTTTAGTTATTGCATAGTTGGTTCATAATTCTGATCTCTGCAAGGTACATTTTCAGATTTTCAATCTCAGAATGCTGGTTCATTCATATCTTTGATCCCCATCAGGGCCAATGAAGCAGGGGAAAGTTGGACGCTACTGTTGGGAAGGAGACCCAAGACCTGACTATGTTGCATCTCTCATTGTCTTTATCACTAGCATCATTATTTGCCTACTGTTTTTGACATCCATTATAAATTAAGTTAATTTAATTAAGTTAATTTAAGAAAGCCATGAAAGAGAAGATGGATTATATCATATTCTGATGTTCTCCCATTATCAGGGCTAAGGTTTATTTACTTATAACATATTTGAGTCTTTTTGAAGTCAAAATAACAAGAATTGCCTCACCCAGCCAGAGTAATGATAACCACAAGCCAAGGTCAAGAGTCCAATTAATGCAGACAAGCCAAGTACTACAGGAGCAAGAATAAACAATAACCGTGGTTATAGTCCAACAGTCAAATGCCAGAAGTTCTGAAGTCAAGCTCGGTAATCAGGGATACAAACTGAAGTCAGATCCATAAATCAAAGTCAGGAAGTTGGTCCAGAATTCAGAGTCAAGGATTCAGGATACAACAGCGTCCAGAAAAGGATTACAGAAACAAGGTTAGTATCCAAAATTCTAACTCTGAGGCAGCAGAGACAAGATCCAAGACGAGTACAAAGATATGACGTTATCTCTTACCAAAGAGCTATTTTTTCCAGACCCCTTTTATCATGAGATCTCAACTGCTGCTCATTTCAACAAGCTTTCACAGATAACCCTGGAAGCCTATGATGCTTTCCTTGAGGGAGGAAGTCAGTAACCCCTTCCAAGTTTGCTACAATACTGAGAAGAGTCCTCCTCTGCTGAAGATCTCCCCCCAGAAGCAGCTGAGCCAGGCCAGACAAACTGCTGGCCATGACAGATGCAGAAACACCAATGCATGGAGGGAAATGAGAAGAGATGCTAGAGCTGGAAGAAGCCACAGGTAAAATGCAAAACCTCTGGTGACAGTGGTGGAAGCTGGAAACAACAACCAAGAAGTAATCAGTTCCTTTCTGCCTTAGCTGTGAGGAGGAGGAGAAAGAAGATGAGGAGTATCTCCATATCCACAGCTTAGCAAGCATCTATCCCAATTTTTCATCAACCCTCTGTCTCAAAAAGTAGCCCCTGAACATCTTCCAACTGGCCCCAAATAGGCTACCAAGAGACATGTGACATGGAATGGAGGAAGCCCCCAGTGCGTGGGTCAATAAATTAAGCTAGACAGGTGCCTGGGGCAGCATAATAATTCTGTGTGGCAGTGTTCCACACACAGAGGGCTACTTTCTGAAGAGGAAGTCTCCCTATAGCTATGGAGGTTTTCCACAAAATCTGGTACATTCTAGCTTTTATGTAAAACTTCAACATGAAAAAAGACACTACTCTTTAGGAAGTCACCACATGTGAAAGATAACAGCAATGGAGAAAGAAGAGAGTAGAACTGGTTTTTTCACCCGTTATCTGCATTTATGAAACTTCCATCTGGAACTCCTGAATAGGGTTCAAATCGCAGATGATAGTAAATGAATCCTCATGTGAATGGACCTACCACTCTGGCAGCAGTGAAATTATCTTGGTGTATCCATCCAGAGTAGAAACCAGTTTAGGAATATCTCAAAGAACAAAGATGTCTATACCTCAATTACACATTGATACAATTTGAAGGATTACGTGATACCACCTTGCATTTTATTATTGTCGTACCACAGTTCCATCAGTTTTAGCCAGCCTGCACAATGATGGAGAATGCTGCTAGATGAAGCCAAGCAACATCTGAAGGAATGTATTTTATCCATCTCTGACCTGAATTTTCTTACTCGTATGTGAATTCTAAATGTGAATTATGTTAATTACCCCATCTGTTCTATATAAACTCTTTTTCTCCGATCTGTAATCTTAGAATTTATCAGTGTGTCTCATCTTTTGTTGATAAATAGAACTTACATAATGTGGTTAGTTTCTTACAGCTAGACCTCCCTTTGTCTTAATTTAACAATGACTAAATGCTAATATTTAGTCAGACTATCAATGGACAATGGATTCAGGGTCATTAAGGAAGCTGAAACTGGAGAATGTGCATAATTTCAGCTCTGGAGTGAGGCTCAAATCCAATTTTATGTGGGTGGTATATGGATGCAAAATGCTGGTCTTAGCGAAACACTGAAAGCTAACTACCAATTAAAAAGCATTCCACAATATATCATTTCTATATTCAGCCATAAAATGTCTGAAATTCACAGTAACCATTGATACTTCTTTTATCACACCCTAATAAAGACTCTTCAAAGCTACTAGATCACATCCTATTATGGAGTCATTTGTGGCAATATTCACTGTATGATATACACTGAATGGCATGATTCATGACCGGCTTGATTCAACTTGTGGTTTCAAAATGAAAACAAAAAATTGCAATGGCTGAAATGTTTTTAAAGATGCTATTTTAAGTGCGAGGCACTTATGAAAAGAAACATTTTCCTTGGAAATGTCCAAGGCAAAAGGAAAAAGAAAATAGGGCACATTACTCACACACATACACAGTTTGTGTTTGTCATAGAAAAACAAACCCAGAAATCACACAATTCTCCCAGTTCCGTTAAGTTATTTGTTGGATACTTCTGTCATGGCATTCCAGTCATCAACTATTTCTGGTTTGTCCTCATATGAACCCATATTCTTAAGATGACAAGAAGAATAAATAATTTGTTTTCTGGAGAGTATTTCAAATGAAGCAATAGTGGCAAACGAAGCAATACTGCGGATGTTTACTATGCCCAGCCAATTGCACTTACTGTTTAGGAAGTTTATGTAGTAGAGATGGATAACTATAGCCCAAGGACTGCATGAGGTGCCAACATTGGTAAATTGCCAGATTTGGAAACATCCAGGAGTGATGAATCACTGAACTGCCTCTCACATCATTCTCCAAGCAAGAGAAAGCCCCAGAAATGAAATCAGTATTACTTAAAATTTAATTCACAACTGATTTTCAGTGTTGTGGCCTCCTAGTACCTGCTGTTGTGACCTCTGAGTACCTGCTGTTGTTACATTACTCCCAGAGGCAGTCAGGTTAATAACTGGGGCGGCATACAGGGAGCATACAACTCCCATGTTACGCCAGCTCCACTGGCTGCCAGTTTGCTACTGGGCACAATTCAAAGTGCTGGCTTTGGCCTATAAAGCCCTAAACGGCTCTGGCCCAATTTACCTGTCTGAAGGCTTCTCCCCCTTTGAACCACCATGGAGATTAAGATCCTCCAAGGAGGCCCTGCTCTCCGTCCCACAATTGTCACAGGCGCGATTAGTGGGGACGAGAGAGAGGGCCTTCTCGGTGATTGCCCCTTGGCTATGGAACTCCCTTCCTGGTGAGATCAGATCGGCCCCCTCCCTCCTGTCCTTCAGAAAAATGGTAAAAACTTGGCAGTGGGACAGTACAATAAAGCAGCAATACCATACCAGACCGATTAGACACAGATGATCAAGACAGTTTTAAAAACAGTATTTTCATATTGAGGCAAATGTTTTTAATGTTTATGTATGCATATAATAAATTTTTGTCCTGGCATTGAATGTTTGCCGTATATGTGCTGTGCTCCGCCCTGAGTCCGCTTTGGAGTGAGAAGGACAGAATATAAATGTTTTAAATAAATAAATAATATACTGAAAACAGTCTCTAACTTCGATATTTTCTTTCAGTAGTCTAAATTAAAGTAAACCCTATTAATTAAAGGAAATTACTTAAGTTTTGATTCAACAGCTCAGCTGATTAAATGAATGAGTTCCTGGTAATATGCTTCTTTTATAGAAAATTAGCTACTGGAGGCACTAATAAAAGAGAGAAAATAGAGACATGTGCACATGTGAAATGAAACAATCAAGTGTGGTATGCCTTGCATACATGAGAAAATCCCCAGAAACCACTAATTTGAACCTTCAAGAAACCACTAATTTTTCCAAAATGTATATATGGATCCTTTTCTTCTTTCACTAGCCTCCCTTTGTTTTGCCTTTGAGACTTATATATATCCTTTTTTCAACATGCTGGGGCTAGCTGGTGAGACATGCTTAACCACTGTCTTTGCTTTCTATTTTCTGTTCAAACATGTTCCATAAGGGAATCTGGGGACAGCTGCTGTTCGCCTTGCCAGTAAAATGGTCTGGAAAAGTCAAATACTGCTGCTTTCCAACTAGCTTTACTGCATTGCTTATGCAGGCATAGTGCTGAACCTTGAACTAACATGTTAATTCATCCCTCCTTCATCAACCTACCAATATTAATGCTTCTAATACACACACACACACCTTCTATTGAAGTAGAAGATAAGGAAGAAAAGGGAAAGGGATGGAATTTGTGGGACTCAAAAGACTTAGTAAAAAGAAGCTTCTCTCTCAGAGAGAAGCTTCTCTCTCTCTCTCTCTCTCTCTTTGTTAACTGAGCTGTTTATTTATTTACCCTATTTAGACCCCACCTTTCTCAACCCCAAAGGGGACTCAAGGCAACTGAGGCATGCATGCATGTTAACAGAGGTATGCCTGGATGTAACAAC